GACATACCGGAGCTGCTGGAGGAGGGGGCCTGATTAGGGATCATGGTGGGGCACTCATCTCTGCTTTCCATGGACCACTCCGGGCCTCCTCGAGCTATGATGCAGAGATTCAGGCGCTCCAGATTGGTCTAGAGATTGCTGCCTCGATCTCCTCTCATGTCTGGATAGAGATGGATGCTGCGGCTGTCGTTACACTTCTGACATCTGGCCACCAGGGCTCATGGCAGATCCAGCATCCTCTTATGCGTATCAGAGACACCCTTCGCTTGATCCATTACCAGGCCTCACACATATTCCGGGAGGGGAATCAGCCCGCTGATTTCCTTGCTAGCACGGGAGCTTCTTTATCCCAGAGGCGCACCCTTCTTCCTGGGGACATTACCCTCCGGCTCCGGACGCTCATTCGGATGGATCAGCTAGAGTACCCATCCTTCAGATTCAGCCGACCGCCACCACCTGCCCCTGACTAGTTTTGACTCTTGGGACTACAGACAGGTCACCCTGACCAGGAAGACCTATTACGAGGATTTTATTTTCTTTTCACTTCGGATATTTAGTGATCTTTGCACTTTTTCTTCTCTGCTTTTGTTGTTGATATATGTATTCTAGGCTTGTATTCTCGACTTGGATGTAGACTCTTGACTTTTTAGCCCTTCTGGGCCTTTATATTCACAGGTCGGGGGTACAGCCTCAACCCCCCATCCCAACCTGGGATGTTTTATCAAAAAGAAAAAGATTAGAAAGATTTTTTATTTTTTATTTTTTTTTTTTCAAACAAGGTCAAAAGATTTTTTTTTATTTATTTTTTGGTACACAAAAGATTTTTTTTTTTATTATAGACTCAAACATTGAAGATACTCTTAATCATTCCTAATGATTCGGGCTTTTTGTAAAAAGAAAGTTTTGTCATATGAAAAAGCAAATTTAATGTGAAAAAAGATGATCTCTTTGCAATTGGTGTAGCCAAAAGAAAAAGAAAACTTGATTTACTCTAAATTTTATTGAAGCCATGAGTGGAGGTCTGATATGTTTGCATTGGATTGACATTAGCTTTTTATTTAGGGAATGTACTAATTTAAATTTTTAGAGACTTTTAGAATTTATGTGTGTTTAATTAATACTTTTTGAGATTTTAAAAAAAAAATAAATGTATTCAATTGAGACTTTTTATAAATCTCGAAGTCTAAAAGTCTTAAGCTAGTCAGTTCAAATTTTCTGAGAGTCTCTATAAGTCGTTCGATATTTTTAAAGTATGAAGATTTTGAGACTTTTTAAATTATAAGACTTTTAGACATTTTTTTTTTTACAAAATTAGGAAGACAAAGTCGTAGCAGAAATGTCATCAAATAGGTGAGATTTGTTGGACTTATGTAACTCTCATATACTATTTTTTCTCTGTACTGTTAATGTACACGACTCTATATCTCGTTTATACTCATTTGTTTGATAGTTTTTTATAATTTCTATTTTCATCACGAATATTTAAAGTTATAATTCTTAAAGGTTATTTTATGTGTGTTAGTTTCAAAGGTTAAATGTTTGTATAGTTTGCATATGTCAATAATTTATTTGTTCTCTCTTTTTATTTGTATTTGTTTTTTCAAATACTAATATATTAATTCTATATGGTAAGAGTTTATTTGTTTATATAGATTTATTTGAGTATTTTGATAAATTCAAAAGATACAAATATTTTCTTTTGATAA